CGGGAACGCCGGGGCCGACGCCAAGTACAAGGGGCAGAACGGGGATTTCTCGCCCGCCAGCGTGCTGGCAGCCAGCAGGTATGTGTGTGCCCCTCAACTGAGCCTTCCCTGTCCTCAGTGTCCCTTGGATTTGGCCCCAGAGCAGCGCTGAGGCTCTGCAGAAGTCGTTGCCCCTTGGTTTGTGTGCTCGCTGTCAGCTGGGATCTCCTCTCGCCAGCTCAGTCCAGGGCCACGACTGTCCATGGCTCCTCTCTAGTCCCAGCTGTGCCCTCACTCCCAGATGGTCCCAGTGGGTGCCCATCTGCCCCTCCTCCCCACATCACTGAGTGGAGACAGGAAGCCACAAAAGTCACCCTGCTCCCCTAGAACAAGAATAAAACACATAATTGCAATACCGACTGAAACCAAAGGGTTTCCTTGGCTTTCAGTGACTTTCCCTCTGTTTTCCCTGCAGACCTGCCCACGGCAGCCCCCAGTACGGCGGACCCACCAACACCTTCACCGTCAGGCCCGGGACACGCCAGCCCATCTCCTACGCCTACCAGAGCAGCCACCGGTAGGCTCGTCCCCAGGGCTGCTCTGCCACCTGCACCCGGCTGGGAAGGGAGGAGGAGGTGCCTGGCATGGTCCTTTCCTTCTCCACGGGCCCCAGGGACGGTCCCAACCCAGCCAGCAAATGTGCTGCTTGAAACTACTGCTGGAGAAGGTGGGGGGTGACCCTGGGACTCGGGACTTTTGTCTCAAAAGACTGTCACGGAGAGTAAGTTACTGCGGATAGGCCGCTGCCTTGTTACGTGAGCAAACGTGGTTTGCCTTTTTCCCCATTGTCCCCCTTGGATAATTTTCAGAATTGCAGCCTGATAGGTCGTCTAAGGAAGCCATAGAGCATCCTCAGTTCTCTTTGAAGAGCATCACCACTGGAAAATTGGTTTGGGATTGGGGTTTTTTTGGGTTGGTTTAACTCCCAACGTGCCTGGGAGTAGGGAGAAACCAACTGGGAGATGTGCATAAAGAAGCAAGCCAATGTACAGCTCAGAGTAGGGGGATTAAAATAAGAGTGTGAGGCCAATGGGATAGAAAGAGAGTTTAGGATGTCGAGATCCTGACCTCTCCTGTCCCCACCTCCTCCAACAGCCTGGAGCAAATCAATCATGCTGATGCCTTACAACAGCTCCTGGCTGTCAGTGCCTGTCCTCCTCCTCCCCCAGGGAGCAGCTTTGGGAGCAGGGGCCTTGCTTTGCTGTGCCTTTTGGTCGCTGGAAATGTCTCTGTTGGTAGTTATTCTTCATGGAAGGAGGCTGTGAGGCTTGAATGGGCGGCTCTAAAGCAGTTTGGAGGCTTAGGGCGTGGAGCAATCCTTCTTTTCTTTTTTCAGCTGGTGGGTGTGCCAGCGACTTGCCGAGGTGCTGTGCTGGTGGTGCTTCCCCTGAGGGAACCCCCATGAAACCCCCACCCCTAAAAGCTCGGCCACAGCGTCCTCATAAACTGCTCTGCTGAGACTTGGCTTTAGTTTGCCTGCTTTGGGGACTAAGCAGCCTGATTTCAGTGTGACTGCAGGGTGGCTGCAGTGACATCCCTGAGGGAGCTGGCTCCCGCTGCTTCCAGAGGTGCTGGATGTGCCTGGCCCTGCTTCCTGCTGGTGCCTCTGAAGGAGCTGCTGGTGGGAGACACAAGAAGCCTTAAAAAAGGGTATTTTTTACTCCAGAGTGAGCAGTGCAGTCTCACAATAGCTGACCAAAGCAGCTTTGAACAGCCAGCTTCCTGAAACTAGAAATAAAAACTCTTCCCGGTAGGTAAACTTGCTGAAAACCACTGTAAGATAACTGTAAAAACTTGTAGAGAATGTTTTCTAATCACTGACAAACTAAAAGCACTTTGAGACATTAGTCTATTTTTATGGAAAGCACTTTCTATTTTCAATGCTATAAATTAGTTCCACTCCAGCTTATCCTGCCTGGCACACACACCTGTACATGTGCCTGTAAGCAGATTTTGCTCTACAACTCAACTTGAATTCAGTGATAAATATTCCTTCATGGTGGAATTCTCAAAAGTTATCTTGATATTCACGGCATGCCATTGGCATTCTGTGTTATTTCCAGTTTTACCCAGTAATTTAACAGCCTTTTCAGATACTGCAGCAGCTTCAAAGTATTCTGAACTTTACTCTGCTGTGAATAAAATGAAAATGCAAATACCATAATCAGTCTAATAGCTAATTCAAAGGGCATTTTTATGCCAGTAAGTCGCAGTGACTTGGAAGATTTCCAATGCTCACTGCAGCCAATATTGAAATAACTGCCTTTAAATGTCTGGATGTTGGTTTAAAAAAAAAAAAAAAAAGTTTATGGAGAAAAGTGACTGTGGAGTAACTATGTGGATGTTGAAGTGTGCCAAGTGGAATTACCCCCACCCCAAAACATGGAAGTGTCTCCATGCAAGGAGCATCTTGAGGATTCTTGCGGATCTGTGGAAGTAAAGCTGAGGTCCTGCTTGAGTGGCTTCAGGGTCATGTTTTAGTATTGGATGAAGTTTCACCCGTTTAAAGAAAACAAAGAAGTTTCTCTGATAATATTGCGACTTAATTGTTTGGGTTTTTTTTGCTTCCTGATAACTTATTATTTTGAAAACAGTATAACTGCAACTTAGTTCTCAAAAGCAGTTTGAAGTTTCAAGGCTTGTTGGGAGATTTTGGCCTCCAAGATTGATTTTGCCCACTAAAGGTCTGGGGAAGTGTGGTGTGTGTGTGCACTTTTCCACCTCATAAATTCTAAATTTGAGCATATCCTCAAGTTTTTAGGGCAAAATATGACACTCCAGTGGTGGCACCTGCTTTGAGTGTCACATTTACTATTTCAACCCAGACATGCAATTCAGATGGAGGTGTTAGATGATGTCACAGAGTGTCTCATTTCTAGCAGATAACATATTTGTATAAATTAACTATTAGAAGCATGATAATGTAAACCAGCCTTATAAAACAGCCATTATTCATTCAAGAACACCCATTCTGGGAATGCACTGTGGACTGAGCTGTCACTAACTCAGGCTGGACTCTGCTCCCAGTTGTAAAACTGGTTAGCACACGTGTTTTAAGCAGTGGAACTCTCCTGTTCTTCAGACACTTTGGGCTATCCCTGCTTCTTCTGAATGCGTTCAGCACATTCTAGTGTTTCAGTAACCACCAAGACATTTCTGTGGGGGCCGTTGGGAAGTGTGTGACAAAGGAGCCACTGTCAGAGCCCTTGGCAGCCACAGAGCTTGGGGACAAAGGGGAATCTCTGGAGAAGAGCGAGGACTGCAGGGATGGGGAAGAGCTCCCCCTTCCTGGGGCGGGTGACTTTGTCAGGTACGTGGATAAACTGTGCTTTGATTCCTGTCCCTGCTCCTCCCCAGCTGGTTCCCCTGGGTAAATTTAGCAATAGGAGGTGAAGAAACAAAACTAAGGGGTAGTAATGGAGCAAAGCTGCCTCACAGCAGTGCTGAGAGCAACCCTGAAGCCTGGCAGTGGAATTACTCTCACTTCAACCCTCTCTGATGCAGTTCTGCTATTTGAGTCATGATACCACTGAAATTATCCCCTGCAGCTGCCTCTTCCCCAAAAGTACCTGCTAATGGAGTATAACAGAGCTTTAGCTGTAAAGTGTTGAACAAAGTCTCTTATTTATGAGTGCCATTGAACACCAACCTTCTTGCATTAAATATTTCTGGACTGTATTGTTTTATCACACGGTGTGGTCTGACTTTTTTGTTTAAGTGGTGTGTGTGATGTTAAGATTGAGATCTTTGCATGGCAGATTAAAAGGACAGGAAAACACAGCTCAGCAACAGTTTGAATTCCAGCTTAGCCAGGGCTTGGTCCCATTTCTACTGAGCAGCTGATATAAACCCTGTGGCCATTCAGTGTTTTTAGAAGCCCAATCAAGGCATGAATGGGCAGCTAAGCCCCAAGAGCCCTGTCACTCACATCCAGCTGGTTGGGCAGGCTGGCAGAGACAGGAGCTTGTGCTGCTTCTATAAATAGTTCTTGGGTTTGAGCTTCTCATTAGGAACGAAACTCACATACTTGTAACAAGTCCCAACTGGAATGCTGTGCCCAAAATTGAAAGCACGGTGAGCAACGCAAGCAGCAACAGAAAGGCTCGTCTGCTCCGAGTGTGGCTTGTTCTCTCCACTCCTCAAAATTAAACTTATTTGCATTCTCCTCTCTTTCATCCAGCCCTGGCTGCAGACCCAGGCTCCCCATGAAGTGTGCAGTGTGTACACTGAAGCTTTTACCTTGAGCCACAACGTATTTACACGAGCATCCCCAAACCTGACAGGTGGGGAGCGCAGGGACAGCTGAGCAGACCACAAACCCCAGAGAATTCCCCCTAATTCCTCTGCAGAAAGCTGCAAAGTCTACAGGGATTGATGTGGGATTGCTGGTGTTTGTGCCACGCTGCCTACGTGTCCTTGTGACTGTTTCCTCCAGCCTTGCTCGCAGCAGTACAGTCAGCTCCAAGCCAAGGTGCACAACGGGAGGGACTCTTAAAACTCTTGCTCTTCTCTGCTTTTCTTATGACAGTGAAAAAAAAAACCCACAAATATAAGTGGTAAAAAAACCAAAAGGAGATACTCTTTAATGCAATGTGCAGAGTTAGGGAGGTGCTGCCTCGCCCCTTGTCGAGGGCAGCTGCTGCCCTCCTGTGGCACAACAATCATCTGCCAGCTGCTAAAAGCATTTACAATCCTTCAGTCTTTCCTTCTAAAACCAGAATTAATATATCAGTAATGACCTCCTGTCCATATAGGCTTCACCATCCACCATGGTTCTTTTTTTGCTGTGTTTTGCTCATGTGTGGCAACATCAGGGACTGAATGTTTGACATTTAGACTTTCCTTTTTAGCTGTGCACAATGGAAACCCAAGGTAGAGTTTTGGGAAGAAAAGCTTCCTGAAAAGAAGCAGGACACAGAGCCTGCCTTGAACTAGCGCTGAAGAACTGTAGTACCCTGGCATTAAACAGGAATACAGTGATAATTTATTTAAGAACAGTTTTAATATCAGGGACTGAAACCACAACTTCAACAGTGAGAATGATCTCAGCTGGCTCTTCAGTGCTACAGAACTGGCCCAGTGAAACTTGAAACCCAGTTACAAATGAAAACTGTGATTTATTTAAAAACCATCTTCCAAGACAACTTTTTCAGAACCAGCACAAGACCTGTTTCAGTACAGCATCAGAGGTCCCCGACAGGGAACTCTGTGGTTCCAAGGGTATTTTTTGAGGAAACGTGTCAGTTTTTATCATCATTTTCCTTGTCATACACTGCTCTAGAACAGGAGGTTTGCTCTGTAAACACCTGCATGACACGGGAATTAAAAAAGCAGCGAGGTTTACAAAGACTATGAGAAAAGTCCAGAGCCTGGGAAAGCTTAGTCTGCCTAAAAATTAAGTGTGGGCTTTGCACAACTAAACCTATAAGTATGCAGGGATAAACACTGGAAGCAGTGTACATTTAAGTGTTGCTATCATGCTAAAGAACCAGTGGTTAACATTCATTTCAACAGTATTTTTGTTTCATTAGTCAGGACTTGCTTAATTCTGTCTAGGAGATACTAGGCCAGACCAAGCCATATCTAGAGCAGCAGCAATTCATGCAGAGCAATGACAGGGGTTTTTTTTCTCAGTTAAATATGTTCCAGGGAAACAGTTTAGTTAGAAATGGATGTGATATATGACAAAAAAACCACCTCTAGGGGTTATGTGGAGTCTGTTTTGGGGATTCTGGGAATGTTGTGTCCCCCCAGTCGCTGGCACAGAAGTCACTCATCACAAGTGCACGAGGAGTCTGGTTTATCACTAAGCAGAGTCTGTTACAGGAGCAAGCAAATGGCAACTGAAGTCCTTAGTCCAGTTTTTCCCTTACAGAAACCGTTTGTTCACAGGTCTTATCTTTGAGTTAAGTCGCCTTCAGCCCAGAGGAGATGAAATACGGTGTCAAAACAGCACAGCAACTGCTCACTTCTGGCTTTCAGTCCCTTTAACTGGCCCTGGGGCCAAGCACGTGCTGAGCATCACAGGTCCCAGGATTTCAGCACCATGACAAAGGTGTTTAATTACAGGGCCACAGCTGGGAGCCTCATTTTACAGTGTACAAGACCCCTGACACCAAGCACCGGTGTTGATACCAGTGCACAACCAGTGCTCACCACAGGATCCACACTGGTACTGAAGCCCAATGCTCTAAACCAAGTGCTGCATTAAGGACAACACTGGAACCCTTCTAGTCTTTGACTTGGAACGTGTCTTCCCATCCCACTGGGAAAAATTAACATTCAGAGCAAAGAACTTTGCTCAAGGGCAAGGCTCTCACACCTATGGGTGGTTTGGAGAACTGAGGGAGGAATCAAGTCTTTTTGACTTAAGTTTATTTTTCATTACCCCTAATTCCCCATCTCTCCAAGTCTCCTCTGTACCTGAAGCCAATTTTTTTTTTTTTTTCCTGGCTATTATAGAAGCACTCCTGAGGAGAGGGCAAAGCTTGCTTTGTAACTAACTTAGGCCTAATTCAAAATTACTACAGGAACCTTCTTAGCCACACAACAGACCATCCCCGCTCCAATTCACACACACCTTCGACTTCAGCAGAATCAAAGTGATGCCAGGAAGGAACTCGGACCATGAGTTTATAAAACTATTCTTTTACACAGTTGACTCCAGAAGTTTCACCAGTCGGTACGGGGACAGTGTGATGTAAAACCTGATGATCCCATCCAACTGTAGTGAGCAAGGCATCGTCTGAAGGAGACCAGGACAAGCCTTTTACAAAGTCTCGATGAGAACGGTTTCTGAACCTGGAAAACAGCAACACTCCGTTAGCCATGAAAGCCTGAGAGCTGATGGGCTTGTGCAATTCCTAAATGCTAGGCTTTCTGGGATGATGCTCCCCCATTTAGGAATATTTTCACCTCCAGGTTGCCCAGAGAGGTTGTGGACTCGCCATCCCTGGAAGTGTCCAAGGCCAGGTTGGATGGGGCTTGGAGCAACCTGGGCTAGTGGAAGGTGTCCCTGTCCATGGCAGGGGTGGGATGAGGTGATTTTAAAGGTCCTTTCCAACCCAAATCACTCTGTGATTCTACAGATAAATAATTTGAGAAGACAGCCACAGGAGTGAACATGTTCTGCCTGTACTTACACCTCTGAAAGGTCTGAGTCAAGAACAGCAACTGAACAGTCTTCACTGATCGAAGCCAGTAAGGGTGAACTGGAGGACAGAGATGAAACCATGGTTAGAACAATCAAACACACGAACTTTTAGGGACAAACTAATGAAAAGTAGGATTCTTAGTGCTCCACACGCAGGTACAGTGAATTAAGAGGCACAAAATCTTACAAAAATGTTTTCACCATTGTTTGGCAGGTTGCCACCGCACTAAGAATATTCTTATTAGAGTCAGAAAGCAAGTGATCCTTCTTTAATCAGAGGTGGCTGTGATGAGAAAAATCCCCACAGCGAGTGGGTCAGTAATGCTGAAACTGCAGAAGTGTTCTCACAGATATTCACACGTGTCAAAAGTGAGATGTTGTTCGGTTTACTCTATTCTTTGCTACAATCTTGATAAAAAGACTACTAGTACTCTCTTTTTTTTTTTTTTTTTTTGTTTTAACCCCAAAAATAAGGTTTCCAAGGGGATTCAGTCAGTTCTACACCAGTGTATCAGACTGTACCTGTGTGCAGAGAATGCAAACCCCGTGATGCTCCGGGTGTGCACGGTGGCACTGAGGGCAGAGTCAGGATTCTTTGTGTCTACTAGTGCAACTGTTCCACTTTCATCACCTTGAGGAGAGGGAGAGGGAAGTTATTAGCAAAATGGTCACTGTGAAAACAAAAGAGCTTGATCTGCCTGGTGAAAGTGAAGGTTCTTACCCAAAACGAAGATGTCACTTTTCTGTGGATGCCACATGATTGAGGTAGGGAGGTAATTACAGGCACTGCAAACTGCAAAGGGAAGAAATTGGGATGAGTGTGGAAAGAGTCAGAGTAGGAATATCTTTGTACCATCTCTGCTACAGCAATAAGACAAGTATTTTAAGCTTATTGTACTTCTTTGAGTGTTAAACCCCCTTAGGTTTTAACAGGCTTTTGTAGGATCACATCACTAGATTTGGAGTTAGATACAGAAGTCAGGCATAAAATAATTTCTTTCTTCCAACACAAACTCATGCACAAGCAGTGACTGTGTACAGAGACATACCAATTCGGGTAGCTGGTTTAGGGCATCTGGTGTCCCAGAGTAAAGTTCTGTTGTCCTACAAATCCAAAGGGAATAAAAAGGGTTTTGCAATGTCTTTGTGGCATAAACTCACATTCACTGCAGAACTGCTGCTGACCTCCAGTCAAAACCACCCCCTTCTCTTCCTTTGGGTTAAAATGATGCTGCCATTAACTGCAGCCTTCAATCACACCCAGGACAGAACTAGGAGCTCCCAAAATTCAATACAGACCTGTAGGAATCATCTTGCTAAGCTGATTATCAACTTATCAAACTGGAATGCTCCAATAACCCAGGTATGCAGCTCGTAATAACACAAGATGTGGATTTTAAGTGCATTAACCTGTAAATAACTAAAATTATATCTCATTTTTACCAGGTAGATTTAGACAACAGAGTGAGCTTTACCTCAGCACAGGACAGGAACACAGTGTCCTTACCAGGACAGGAAGCCACACATGTCACTGCCGCCGAGTGAGCTACCAAAGCACAAAAGGATAAAGAGCCTCAGGGGTTGTATCCAACTTCCCTGCGTATTCCCAAGGACCTCTGAAGGCACAGCAGTGTAACTAAGAACAGTTTATGCCCAGACAGCCAGTAACTTCCACTCAGCAACAGCCAACTGCTTCCCACCAAAGTGATGAGCTGCCCAACCCAACCACGGGTCCCTGAGCTTGAGGGAGCCTCTCTAGACAGGATCAAACAAAGTGTGATGGAAAGGAGAGGGAGTTTTTCTATGGGCAGACAGTGACAGGGCAAGAGGCAATGGTTTCAAACTAACAGAGGGAAGGGTTGTATGGGATATGTGGAAGAAACTGTTCCCTGATTCAATGATTCTGAAGTATGGTCTCTGCTGTTCCTGAGATGATGACACCACATCTCCAGGGATCAGCACCTCAAATGGGCTGTTGTTCAAAACAAATATGGCTCAGTAGAAGGAAGATTTCAGTGCAGAAGAAATACTCTAAAATACACTTCAGGGATGCAAGGCAAACTGAACCTTACAGCATTTGTTTCATGGGGAGAAATGAACAACAAAATAAAACTATGGCAGAAACTTCACAGACTGGCAAATATACAATCACAGCCCTGAGTGAGGTTTGGCAGGTGGGAGGTCACTGGAGATGCTGCAGGAGGAAGCTCAGCCTGCAGCAGGTGGTGAGGGGCCAGGAGGAGCAGTGCAATGGGGTGGTTTAGAACTCACCTCTGTAGGAGTGCAGCACTGTCTGCTCAGGGATGTCCCAGACCTTCACGCTGTGGACAAGAGCGAGCAGTCAGTACCCAGCACCAGCCCTGGGGCACCAAACACCAGGCTTGGGGCACTCACCAGGCTGGGGACACTCACCAGAAGTCCCTGCCCCCACTGACAGCCTGGGTGCTGCCGGCCAGGACCGACACCGACGTTGTGATGTCGTCGTGCTCGTATTTACAGAACTTGTTCACGATGAGGGTCTCGTTCTCCTCCAGCTCCCACAGCTCCACGGCACCTGGGGAGATGGGGGGACACTCACCTCAGTGAAAGGGACACTCGTCTCAGAAGAGGGGAAAGGATCACCCACCCTTGTCCAAATGAGGGTGGCACCCAACTCAGTGAAGGGGAAAGGGGGGACACCCGGCTCAGTGGAGGGAGGGGAATGTCACCCACCTCAGTTAAGGGTGGACAGTGACCCACCTCAGAGGAGGGGAAGGGGGACACACCCACCCCCGTGAAGGGGATGGGGGAAAAGCCACCTCAGTGAAGGTAGGCACAGGTGATCACCCACCTCAGAGGAGGGGATCACCCACCCATGAGATGGGGAGAGGGTCACCCACACCCACCTCGGTGCAGGAGAAGGTGACACCTCAAAGAAGAAGATTCGGGGTGCGTGTGTGTGTGTGTGGGGGGTGGAATCCCCGTTGCTTACCGGAGTCGGAGGCCACCAGGATGCCCCTGTCCGCCAGCCAGCACAGGTCGGCCACCCCCGCCTCGGTCTGCACGCCGGCCGTGCAGAACCCCTCGCTGGGGGCGCGCCGGGGGTCGGCGAACACCCACAGCGAGCCGGCCCAGCAGCGCCCGTTCAGCCCGGAGGCGCCGAGCAGCAGGGCCCCGTCTGCGGGAGAGACACAACGAGAGACACCCCGGCGGAGCCGTGAGGGGAGCGCCTGGCACAGCCCGGACCCTCCTCACGCCACCGCCTCTCTCCCTCTCCCTCACCCCCCCCCAGCGTTACCTGCGCGGTACCGCACGCGCTCCAGGTGCCGCTCCATGCAGGCGGGCGCGTTGGGCGGGATGTTCCACTCGGGGCCGGCCGCGGGCTCGCCGTCTGCGGGGGGTGGGGGCGGCGGGGCCGCCGCGTCCCCCGAGGGGGCCGCGGGAGCTGCGGGAGCTGCGGGAGCTGCGGGAGCGGCGGCTCCTCCATGGCGGGAGCGGCAGCGGGGCCGGCGGGCGCCCCCCCCCACCCCACACACACACGTGTCTCCCGCCACCGCCTCCTCTCGCGAGAGCGCCCGCCCTCCCCTGCCCGCCCTGCCGCCCGGCGCGGCTCTCGCGAGAGTTCCCCCCCTTGGCCGCCATCTCAGCGCTGAGGCGGCCGGGCGGTCACCGGGACGAGGGGTCGCGTCCCCGCCGCTCCTCCCGCTGCTTTTCCCGGGGGTTCCCGCTGCTTTGCCCGCTCCGGCCATGCTCTCCCGCCTCGTGCTCCGCGCCGGTGAGTGGCCGGGGGGTGGCGGGCGGGAGGGGCGGATTGGTGCTGTGTTTGCCGGGCTCTGCCCTGACGCGCTCTGTGCCCTCTTGTCCCCCCAGCCCCCGCCGCGCTGAGGGCGCTGCCGCCGCCTCCCGTGGCCGTGGGGTGAGTACTGTGGGAGCCTCTCGGAAGCCAGCCCTTAATTGTGCTTAAACAACGTTATTCCGGGGGTTTGTCTTCATTTTTCTTACTAAGGCTCCATGAGTGCAAAGTAGGGCCGGTGGGAAGGAACCTCTGGAGGTTATTTAGTCCCACCCACTTCCTGGAAGGAGGTGCAGCTTCATCGAATCAGAATGGCTTGGGTGGGAAAGGATCTTAAAGCTCATCTCGTTCCACCCCCTGCCATGGGCAGGGACACCTTCCACTAGCCCAGGTTGCTCCAAGCCCCGTCCAACCTGACCTTGGACACTGCCAGGGATGGGGCAGCCACAGCTCCTCTGGAGAATCTATTCCAGTGCCTCACCTGTTACCTGCTTATTTAATTGGAAATCTGTTTGAGCCTCATTTGAGGGTGGTTTTGGAGATTATTTGTGTCTATTTTTTTAATAAGAACCATAATTGAAACTGTTTGTTGTTGTTTGTAGTGTGCTGCACGCCACAAGACAACTGCACACAACTCAGCAGAGTTTGGCTCCTTTGCCACCCCTGCCTGAGAAAGGAGGAGAAGTTCGTCATGGTTTGATCCCCGAGGAGTTTTTCCAGTTTCTCTACCCTAAAACAGGAGTCACAGGTTAATATAGGCTGTTTTACTATTTACTGATACAGGTCTTAACTTTTCTGCATTAGTTTTACTATTTTCAGTTATGTAGTTCTGTCCACCAGTTCTGGCTGCTGAAAAGGTAAAATATTAGTGAAAATTAGGGTTTTTTGCATGTGCAGGTTGTGAAGGACAAGCCAGTGCTGCACTCCTGGCTCTGAAGTCAGACACTTAAAATAAAGGCAAAAAATGCCATGAGCCTGATTTTGTAGGAAGATTTGGTTACCTCTTGGTCCTCAAAACACTTGAATAGGGATTTTTGCCTGTTGCTCTGAGTGAGCAGAAGCAGCAGTGCCAGCTGCATGTTGCTTCCATTTCTGGTGAGATTCCTCCTGGCAGCTTTCCCTGTGTGGATTTATAACTCTGCTATTTGTCCTGGTAAAAGAGAAAACTTCCTAATCTTCTTGTAAGCCTTAAACCCTCTCAGGTATTTGAATTTATTGAGCTTCTTCATGGCTTGTGCAAATAACGCTGCTTTGTTTTCTTTAGGGCCCTACATGCTGGGAACTGGCCTGGTGCTTTACCTGCTTTCCAAGGAAATCTATGTGGTTAACCACGAGACAGTGGCATCTGCCTGTATCTTGGCAGTCATCATTTATGCCGTCAAGAGGTTCGGGCCTGATGTGGCAGCTTTTGCTGACAAACTTAACGAGGTAACAAAGAAAGCAGAATCTGACTTTGTAGTAGTTAATAAGGAGTGGTTTTATTAAAGTATGAATGGCTTCAAACTGGCAGAGGGCAGGGATGGGTGGGTGTTAGGGAGAAAAGTGAGGGTGGGGAGGCCCTGGCACAGGTTGCCCAGAGAAGCTGTGGCTGCCCCATCCCTGGAAGTGTCCAAGGCCAGGTTGGACGGGGCCTGGAACAACCTGGGATAGTGGAAGGTGTCCCTGCCCACAGCAGGGGGTGGAATGAGATGAACTTTAAGGTCCCTTTCAACCCAAACCATTCAAGGGTTCTGTGATTGCGACCCCTAATTCTGCTTTGCCACCTTTGAACCTCAGCCCTGGCACAGGGCAGTTCACACAGACATTTCTCAAATGTTAATGCACTGTTCCAGAAGTTAATTGCAGATTGTTTTGCTTGAGCCTGGCTTTGATTCTGAAGGGTCTTTCTTGTTTCTTCTTGCAGGAGAAAATGGCCAAAGCTTTGGCTGTGAAGAACGAGGCCATCGAGGGTCTCCAGGCAGCCATTGAGGAGGAGAAGAAGGAGCAGTGGCGGGTCGAGGGCCGCTCTTACCTCTTTGATGCAAAGAGGGTACGTGGTGCCAGCTCTGCTACCCACCCCCTGCAGCCTGCCCTGCCCAAGGGAGCCTCTTGTACCCCAAAACAAGTTACAGACCATTTGCTGTCTGTGTGTTGCACACAGGGCCACTTCCACCACCTGAGCCAGAGACTCAAAGGGAGGGAGAGGGACTTTTTGTATGGGCAGACAGTGACAGGACAAGGGGGAATGGCTTAAAACCGAGGGAAGGGTTAGATTAGAGATTAGGAAGGAGTTGTTTACTCAGAGGCTGGGCAGGCCCAGAGAAGCTGTGGCTGCCCCATCCCTGGAAGTGTCCAAGGCCAGGTTGGACGGGGCTGGGAGCAACCTGGGCTAGTGGAAGGTGTCCCTGCCCATGGCAGGGGTGGAATGAGATGAGCTTTAAGGTCCCTTTCAACCCAAACCATTCAAGGGTTCTGTGATTGCGACCCCTAATTCTGCTTTGCCACCTTTGAACCTCAGCCCTGGCACAGGGCAGTTCACACAGACATTTCTCAAATGTTAATGCACTGTTCCAGAAGTTAATTGCAGATTGTTTTGCTTGAGCCTGGCTTTGATTCTGAAGGGTCTTTCTTGTTTCTTCTTGCAGGAGAAAATGGCCAGAGCTTTGGCTGTGAAGAACGAGGCCATCGAGGGTCTCCAGGTGGCCATTGAGGAGGAGAAGAAGGAGCAGTGGCGGGTCGAGGGCCGCTCTTACCTCTTTGATGCAAAGAGGGTACGTGGTGCCAGCTCTGCTGCCCACCCCCTGCAGCCTGCCCTGCCCAAGGGAGCCTCTTGTACCCCAAAACAAGTTACAGACCATTTGCTGTCTGTGTGTTGCACACAGGGCCACTTCCACCACCTGAGCCAGAGACTCAAAGGGAGGGAGAGGGACTTTTTGTATGGGCAGACAGTGACAGGACAAGGGGGAATGGCTTAAAACCGAGGGAAGGGTTAGATTAGAGATTAGGAAGGAGTTGTTTACTCAGAGGCTGGGGAGGCCCTGGCACAGGTTGCCCAGAGAAGCTGTGGCTGCCCCATCCCTGGAAGTGTCCAAGGCCAGGTTGGACAGGGCTTGGAGCAGCCTGGGCTAGTGGAAGGTGTCCCTGCCCGTGGCAGGGGGTAGAAATGGATGATCTTTAAGGTTCCTTCCAGCCCAGACCATTCTGTGATTCTGTCACTTTTGCTACAGAACACATTCTGCTGCTGCTTTGTGTTCTTTCCAAACATCAACCCGCTGACTTCACTTGTGTGTGCAGAATAACGTTGCAATGCTGCTGGAAGCCAACTACCGAGAGAGGCTGATGATGGTGTACAACGAGGTGAAGAAGAGGCTGGACTACCAAGTGGCCATGCAGACCCTAAAGAAGCAGAAGGAACAGGATTACATGATTCAGTGGGTGGAGAAGAACGTTATTCAGAGCATCACACCCCAACAGGTACTGGCTGGTTTTTATGTGCTTTACGGTGATTTAAACCAGAATCGTGCGTAGCATTTGTTGCTGCAGCTCAGAGCTGAGCTGTGATGAGATGTGCAGCTCACAGGGCAGGGAACTCACTCATAAAGTTCTCTGTGTAGGACCATGGCAGATCAAGGTCTGCAGGTGGGCTCTGGGTGGCTTTGTTTTTAAGGAAAGAAACAGAACAAAAATAAAGAAAACCTTCCCAGCACTGTGTGCTTTTGTTGCCCAGAGAAGCTGTGGCTGCCCCATCCCTGCAAGTGTCCAAGGCCAGGTTGGACGGGGCTTGGAGCAACCTGGGTTAGTGGAAGGTGTCCCTGCCCATGACAGGGTGGAACTGGATGAGCTTTAAGCTCCCTCTGAACCCAAACCATTCTGGGATTCCAAGACTTCCATTCCTGCTTTAATGCAGCTCCTTGTTTGGCTGCAGCCTCTGATTTTGTGAGCTATAACTACATCCCTTTAAATCTGTAACTCACAAGCGTGAAAAAGGATTATCTAAAATAATCTATTTTGCTTGAAATGTCTTCTGACAGCAGCTTTCCCTTCTCTTGCAGCAAAAGGAGAGCATTGCCAAGTGCATCTTGGACCTGAAGGCGCTGTCCAAGGGCGCACACGCAGCAGTGTGACCTCGTCTGAACCCACTGACACATCTCAGTGCTTACTGGTGGAAACTGTATGATCCTAAAACGTCATTAAACAAACAAAAACCCAACCCCTCTGCTGTGTTTCACTAACAACAGTCATTGCCTGGGTGTGTTTGAAGTCGCTGGATGGGTCACTTATAGTGGAGGATTAGTTGCAGCCACAGTGTGTGTTTTGGATTCCTTGTTTGGTCATGAACACTTGCAAAGATCAGATACACAACTTCACAGAGACAAATTCTGCTGCTCAAACTGACCTCTGGGTTAGAATTCTGTGTGAAAACCACCCACAGATACCTGCTGTTGTTTCAAACATTTTCTAAAATCGGTGATTTGTTCTGCCACTGGCCTGGTTCTGGACTGGGAGGAGCCCTCCATGAATGTCCTTGTTCTCAAAATGAGCTGAAAAACTCCTTTTTTACATAGCAAAGCTTTAGGGAGTGATGAAAGTGTTTTGGTTCTGGGAAAAGAGTGACGTGGCAGGAAATATGTCAAAAGCTACCGGAAAACATGACTTCAGTATTCAGTTTAAAACAGGGAAATGAGTGAGTTTAGAGGGTGGGATTCATAGGAAAAAAAAAACCCAAAGCTGTTGGTTTGGTTTTTTTTCCTTGTGCATCAAGATAAATAATTCCACGTCTGTTATAATACACAGAATAAATCTCTTCCATTTTCCTTCCATAGGAAGTTTCCCCTGCAGAGTTTTGTTACAACTCAAGTATCCCAGCTGAGCAAAGCACTGACCTGTATAAATTCATCCTGTGTGTGCTGGGCAGTGATTTATTTAGTACATGAACTGCAGTGAGCAGAGTGGGGTGTGCCCAGTACCCGCTTCTTTATGAATTGCTGCAATTCTCAGTGGGGTAAAAGTGAGTTTTCTCCACTTTACAATCCAACAGCACAAAAAAGTTGCTCTTTGGGGGTAAGAACCTAAGCTTAATCTGCCTTACTTTTTTTAGCTCAACAGTTCCAGAGAATGCAGGTGCATGGTTTCCTGTTCTGTGATAATTTAAATAAGAAAAGTGAAGTTGCTCAACTTCCACATTTTTGTAACCCCACAATCTCAATGACACTGGAGCTTTTAACTGTTTCTTTGCACAAAGCCAAGTGGTTAAACTGGTGTACTGACCCCTCCGGGAGTTTTCCACCACCACTTCCATGGTGGGAGGTAAGATGGAACTGGGTCATTTCTTGTTCCTTTAAGGTTCTTGCAAACACAAACCGTGAGTTTTGGGGTTGGAAGCAGGGAGCTCTTTGTGGTCTGACTGCTCTGCAATGTGGGCAACAACGGGGTGCAGTAGGGAAAGTGGCAGCAGCAGAGAACAGGGTGTTTATTTTCATGTTGTGGTATTTTCATGTTGTGGTATTTTCACATTATTCACAATATGCATATTGCAAACCATGTGGTGAGAAATACCAGGGTAGGGATTTTACAATAGACTGTCTTTAAGAATCCCTATCTTGTAGCCCTATTTTCAAGATTCCACCCCCAAATTTGAGGAGAAAGTTACTGTTCCTGCCTTGGTGGGAAAAGTCAATTTAAGTTGAGAAAGGAAAACATCAAGGGGGGAACTTTTCGAAGCTACTGATTATGAAAGTGTTCATAAAGTGGACTGGGATTTAGCTCTTGCAAAAATAATCCTGTGGATGCTTTTTAGTTGTTAAATATCTTCCATTTTTTGGGGAAGAAGGCGACGTGCCCATCAGGGCGTAGTGACCACGTGTGCCATGAGCAAGACACTGGGAAGCAGGATTGGTGCTGAGGAACTGCTGGGTTGGTGTGGCTTTGTGCCAGTTTTATAAGATTCCTCAAAACTGGATTAAAACTAGTCTTTTGAGTTAAAAGAGGGTGACAGGTTTGTTTTGCTTACATAGATATGTACATAAATACAACTTTTTTTTTTCCCTCCCCTCCTTTCAGCTTCTCTTCCTGTCCGTTAGTGCTTGGAGAGAATGGGAGGCCGTTCCTCAAAACTAGCAGGTATTTTATTTTTTAAGCAGTTTTCTGAGCTGCTGTGTTCTTGCCTAAGCTGATGTTGTGTGGAAGAACTGCATGGCTGCCCTGAGACAGTAATGATATGAACAACTCCGTTTTCCTGTCTGGTGGTTCCACTTTCAGCCCTCTGATAGAGAGAAGTCTTGCACACAGAATAGCACTGCCCTGGGCAGACACGTGCCTGAATGTAGTTCTTATTGTCTGGGCAAATTTATATGTTTTAAAACCAGGTTTTGATTATTTTTTTTCTTTCAGTTCCAGTTACACCCCCTTCTACTACTCCCACCACTACTACCCACTTCTACGTCCCCACCACTGTCCCGACCACCATCCACACCACTGTCCACACTGAATTAGAAGCTTCACAAGTTAAATGCTTGTTTGAGAGGTAAATGCTCCACCTTTATTTCCTGCCTCCAAACCCAGGGTTCCCTGAGACTGCAGCCTCCTCCTGCAAGGGAGGGGTTATATGTCGTGTATTTGATGTCCTGGGGGTTTAAAAAGTTCATGGCAATTACCTACTCTGTGCACTAGTGATGCTTAAGGCAGATATGCACCTTTTAATCTCATCCTGCTTGGGATAAATGGGTTACACTCCACAAAGTCTGGTGAATTTGAGCACTGCTGATGCTCCAACACCTCTGTTAAAAGTGGGGATTCTGACAGGATTTTCTGTGTATCAACAGCCATGAAATACTGTACATGTCACTGGCCTTCATCTCTGGCATCCTCCTGACTCTCCTGGTTTATGCCATCATCTGCCTCTTCAGGAAAAGTAAGTGGCACAGTCGAGGGAGTAACAGCAGAGTGATGATAACTGCAGAAGTTACTTTGAAATTTGTGTCTGCCTTGAATAACTCCTGCACTGATGAACAGGTCATTCCTGCCCCTCAGGGGCTGTTTTCATGGGAGGATCAACTCAGCCCCTGATGAGCTGGGGAGGTTTTTGTTGGTTGTGGGTTTTTCTCATCCTAACCCTGGTCACACTAAATTCTCAGTCCCTTTCATCCTGGCCACTTCCAACAGGTGGGCAGGGACTTGGCAGCCCCAAACTGCCCACTTTGCAGGGCAGGTCTAGGACAGGTTTTCCAAGTTATGTGTCTGTCACCCACCACTGAGCCTCTCCAAACACAGTGCAGACATATCCCTCTCCTTCCTAGATTACAAGAAATCCCACCAACATTTACAGGAGCAAGTTTCCTTCCAGGCAGCACCCGAGGAATATGCCAGGAACACCCAGGTAAAGGTCACAACTGCTATTTCTAACCCTTGATGCAGAGATTTCACCTTTTTGACAGGGTGGGGAATATTAATTTGGGGGTGGGAGGGAGAAGAGTCACTTGCTTGTGAGACCTGAGTGTTAATCAGGAGTTCTGACTTAAACTTGAGACTTGACCCAGGATCCTGAGCCAGACCAACCACTGGGATAAACCAGCATAGTGTACATTAATTTCCCACGTGTAAGGACAGACTGTTTATGGTGTGTGGTGTTGAGGACAAACTAAAAGTGGTAAATTCCTGCTGACAGGCAGTGCTCAAACACTTTAATGTTTGTGGCTTCTTTCCCATCCTCAGAATGAGGTTACCTACAGCACTCTGGTCTTCCAGCGGAGTCAGACACCACTGGCTGTGTGATGATGAAGTTCCAAGAGAAATAAAAATGTTTTTCCACTCTCTGAACATCAAAAGCCACCAGAACGTTGCACCAAGGCCTGCAGCACCCTGAGGGGGCCAGCGCTGCCATCTGTAACATCAGCTCTTTTTATAGTTACAAGGGGAAATTCAAGTCTCCTGTTCCAAACAGATTGCCAAAGGTTGTGGGCAATTTGAAGGTTTGGGTTTTTTTTTTTTTAATACAATATTTCCTCATCTGTAGAAATCTCCCTGTGCTTGTTTCCGTTTCTGAGCTACCAGAGAGAACTGAGAAATGAAAATGTTTCTCTGCATCTATCCATGTCTGGGCTCTTGTGTTTCTCTTTTCAGTCACCAGCCATGGCACTTTGCATATTTTTTTTTCATTGCCAAGTGCTCTGATTAGTTATTTTCTCTTATTGAAGTGACCATAGCGAAATGTTTGTGTGCAAATGCTGCTTCCTGATGGGGTCCCCCTAAAACAAAATCCACGATCCCAGCGTGACAGCCAAAATCTCTCATTCATGTGTTATTACCCACAATGTTCTAAACACATTGTAAAAAGTGAAGAATCATCCCTTTGTCGTCAGCTGGGGGATAAGGTGCCACGAGTGACTCTGTCTGAGCAGCCACAGGATGTTCCCACGGATGGGAGGTTTGCTGTCCCAGGGAGTACAGGGATCTCCAACTGCTCAAGGCTGAACGGGAGCGAAGTTTCCTGCTGGCTCAGCCCTCGGGGCCTCAGAAACCTCCCTGTTTGCGGTCACCAGAGAGTGCCAGACTCCTGCAGGTATTTCTGTTTCCTGAAAACGGTGATATTTGCATGCGTGCTGTTCAAACACCCCTCTAGAGGGATCTCAGGGGCAGAACAAGTGTCCTACAAACTCCGGTGCGCCGAGGCTGAAACATCGGAGAGGCTTCAGAGGAGCGATGCTGGATGTGCCACCTGATGGCAGCACCAAGCCGTGCCTGGGCTGGTTTAATTCTCCTTAAAAGCGGGACTTTGGTGCTTTTCCAGCCCTGGTCAGCAGAGCAGGGGCTCCACCTCTCCCACCCCCGGTGGGTTGTCCTGTCTCCTCCTCCCAGCAGCTGCTGGAGGTCCGGGGGAACCACGTGAAAAAGTGTGTCTAAACCCTTTTATGTTCTGAAATTCGGTGTGTGGTGGTGTGGGTCAGGCCACAGACTGTTCCCTGGTACAACCTGTGGTCTTTGCTGCTCTCTGCTCTCATCTCAGTCATGGCAGTTTCTTCAAGTTCTATTTAACAGAGAAAAATACCATATTACTCCTTAGTATTTTTAGCTGTGAAGAGCTTCACAAGGGATGAGTGTGGTTTGTGCACAGTGGTTTTTTCAGTTTTTTAATGGCAGCCAGCAGCCAACTCTTAAAAATTCCTGTAGCTACAGGAATCTGTGACAAGTGCACCTGCTAATCAGAACAGAGGATTCTGTGTCCTCTGTTTCTGGCTCTCCCATCTTCACTATCTCCAGGAGGTTTCTGCTCAAGGTGTTTGCACTTTTCTCTCCCTAAGGACAAGCTTTCCCAGCAGGAATGTGCCTGAGTGTGTCTGTGTCTGATATAAATTGTCCAGCCCTGGGAAGGTGAGTGGAAACAGCTCATGGGTTAAATGGTGCTGTGAAGGATGCATGGACAGCAGTGCCTGTGATATTCCCTGGCATTTTGGAGTTGACATCTGGTTGCAAATGTTAGAAGGGAGAGCAGGGCCACGCAGCTTGTTCTCAGAAGGCAGAATGACTCCCCCTGCTCTCAGTCCCCTCTCTGTTCTTCCTCCAGATCCCTGTGCCTTGTTCCCTTGGAGTTTGTCAGGCAGCCTGCCAGGAATTTGGTGCACTGTTGCTCCCTCTGTCCTCAGTTCACCAGAAGCACATCAGCAAAGCCCCCCGTGCGTCGTTCTAACAGATAATTTCCTGCTCGTGAGGTGGGACCTGTTTTTCTGCTGAAAGCAATCGTTTCCATCACTGATCATGAGAGATCCTGTACCAACTTCTGCTGTACTTGTGCAATGTCTTCCTTTGGCTTGTTTATCTATCAAGTTGAATTGTGTAACGAGGCAGAGCTTTGGCCTGGGACAAGGTTTCACATCAGATAAGAAATGAGATGTCTGCTCTCAGCTAGAGGAGCAGATGCCAACGCTCTCTAAGATAAGTAACACGATGATGCACTCCCTTTTCTGCTTTATCTGGGCAACTTCAATTATTTAAAGATGGAGGAAAAAGTAGCCTGGCCTTTAATGACTTATTTTCAGTTTGACCCATGTTCATTAAAACGAGGCTGTGTCAGCTGAGGTGTAATAATTAGTGCAATTTTTGTGCCATCCTAGGCAACTAAAACTGCAGGCTAGGATTTTTTTGATTGTCACAGGAGGATTCAGCAGGCTGAAACAATGTAAAATCCATCTAATAGTTATTATTGTTCATGACAATGTGACAACCCTGGCTGCAGCACAAGTTGACCAGACTCAAGTTTAGTCTAAACAGACAGAGAAGACAAAGGGTGTAAGAGCAGTCGGTGAGGTGGTGAGCTTACAAACAGCAAGGAACATATTTATCCTGGTTTTCAGTCAACTCATCTAACCCTTATGTTAAAAAACCCCAAAAAACCTCAACACTAGACAGTATTTCCTTCTGTATTTTGAACTGATAGAATACAAAGACATATATTCACATACAGCTTTAGGGTAACCTTCAGATCTACACGTTGCTTCGTTGTTCCATGAGTTCCTTAGGAAAGCCACGTGGTTTATCAGTTGTCTGGTCTATACTGGCAGGTTCAGTCTTTATTTATGACTGTGGGTCTCTTGTTTGCTCTGTAAGAGCTGGGGCTGTTTTTTGCACAGGATATAGGTCCTCAAAATTAAAAAGTACGTGCTTTTGAACTTCTTGATCTTGCAGGCGTAGACAATGGGGTTCATGGCGGAATTGGCGTGGGTTAACAGGATTCCCAAGTACATCCAAAACTTGGGGATCTGAGACTCGGGGTAAAAATAGGAAATGCAGTTTATAATGCACAGAGGCAACCAGGATATTGCAAACAGGAAAAGAACAAGTGCAAGAGACTTGGCCATCTTGAACTCCTGCCCATAAAAAGCTCTGGCCCCTCTCACACCGGTTGTGCCTTGACTCAGCTTTGTCCTGATGATGTGGAAGATTTCAGCATACAGGGCACACATGATGAGCAGGGGGACAAGGATCCACGTGAGGAAGCCAAAATACACCATGTAATCCATGCTCATCACAGACATGAATTGGCACCTGAGGAAGTTGGAGTCCCTTGGCTTGTTCCAGCCAAACATGGGGACCAGCGCGGCCAGCAGGGACACAGCCCAGCACAGCCCCAGTGCCCACCAAACTCTTCTCTCTGTCATGATTCTCTTGTACCTGTGGGGGCAGAAAACCCAGGCTGTGTTAAAACAGGAGTGTTTAAAATAGTTAAGGACAGTTTCAAGCACTCACATGGCCAGATACTAAAGGTTTGTTATCAGAAAAAGGAGCATTGGTTTATTGTTGTTTTTTTTTTTTTGGGGGGGGGAACCAAATGCTGTCTTGAGACATTTGTAACAGTTACTTTGCAGTGTCAGTAAGAATTGGGCTTAACTTCCCCTGTTTATAATTGGATGTTTTTACCCATATTATTTTTTGTTTCACCATGATCTTAGTGCTTCTCTTGCCAAGATACTGCTTTGCTGCTATGAGCAGGTCTATCTTATTTCTCACCTTCTTTGGGTATACCTTCATCTTTATATTTTTTATGGCACTTGAAGGACTAAAATGTTCTTTTGCTCTTCAATTTAATAGGCCCTTTCCCATGAAATGATGACTTCTTTGATGCTTGAGGTTATGCTTTGCATTTTTAGTTTATTTACTTTTCCACTCAAATATAAACAGCGAATGACTGAAGTTAACCCTTAGTACCTCTGTTACTACTTCTATGTTTTCAGCAAACACTAAATGGAATTTTATTTAAAAGACCTGCCTCAGAAACCCAAAGAAACTTATGGTGCACTCAGCATCCTGCACAATTAAAAGAGCTGAAGAACTAAATGGTTCAGATCAGTGACAACCCCAAGCTTTGTGAGCTCCCCTGGGGTCTCTCTGTGCTGCACCCACTGCAGAGAGGGGTCCTGCTCTCCAGACCTCGTCTCAGGGGGGCTTTGAGGCACAAGCATCCACTGCAAGTACTTGTTTGCTGGAGAAGGGCCAAGTTAAGGAGGACAGGGGAGGTGGGGCACGGGCTGGGCAGGGGCAGAGGGGCCCGTGGAGGCGCAGCACTCACCTGGTCGGCAGCTTCACTCGCAGGTACCTGTCGATGGCGATGGCCAGGAGGGAGAGGACGGAGGCGTTGGTGAAAACCACCATGAGGCAGCACATGAAGAGGCAGGTGTAGAAGTGCACAGTGATGCCCAGGCTGACCACGATGGCCAGGGGCACCACCAGGGTCCCCACGGCGATGTCGGCCAGCGCCAGGGACGCGATGAAGTACAGCGTCGTGTTCTGGAAGGTGGAGCTCAGCTTCACCACCCAGATCACCAGCACGTTGCCCAAAGTGGCAAACAAAGCCACCAAGCACTCGGTGCTGATGTAAATCCCGTCCAGGCTGCTGAGTGCCAGGCTGTTGTTTAGCATGATGGTGCTCCCACCCCAGCCTGAGCTGCAGGAGGGGACACAGGCATCGATGCCCCTGTGTGGGATTTGTCTTCAGTGTCTGGTGCTCAGTTGTTCCAGGGACTTCAGACTTCAAGGTGCAAACTTCTGTCAGTATTTCACGTCCTCCCCACTCAGGCAGCAAATCAGGTGTTGCCTTCCCAGAGAGGTGCAAACTCCTCAGCACCCAGGAGCTGTTCCCCTCTCTGGAGACATCTCCCGAGGCTCACGGCTTCCCTTCAGCAGCATCGTGGCAGGGAAGTGCTCTGGAAGGGCTATTTTGAAGGGAAAAAAATGGAAAAGCTTCCACACTCCTGCTTGCCAGCAACTCATAAATAAAGACTTTAACTGCTTCCTCTTTCAAGCCACAGTTTTACAAGTCCAAGAACGTCAACCACAGCCGACTGTGCGAAGCTGCCACTTATCACTCGATATAATCACTCTGCAGTCCCTGTGACAAATGAGGCAGCTCAGAGGATGTTGAAGAGCATTGCACTGAATTCCAGCACCCGATTTAACTCGGGTTGTACCATTCCAGTTAAGGCCCTGAGGTGGCTGAAGAGCACTTTTTACTTGGGCCTTTCTCAGCCTGACAAGAACGCTCATAAGACGGGTGATGTTGTCAGTGAGAGCCCTCGCTTCTGCTGGAAATCGGTACGACAACCAAGCTTGTCATGTTCAGAGGGTGCCATATTTTCCTGTGCCTGGTTTGTGGAAGATGGAAAAAGTGAGGGAAGGTGTGGGAAGTGATGGGAAGTAACAGGGAGAGGGTGTGAAAGCTGAGATGTGCTGGGAGCCTGGCAGTCGTGATGCCCCACTCCTCGATGTGGGTCTGCAGTGAAAGAGCTGCTCCCATCCTGACTGGAACTGAGGAGAGAGGCAAACAGGAGCTCACTGGCATGAGCTGTGGAGTGACCTGGCTCTTGGGCAAGTAGAAGCAAGGAAATGGTTAGGAGGATGGTGCCTCATTAGCATAACGAATCATTAAGCGACCAGGGTGGTCCTTGGTTTCCCAGAAACCGAGTCCTCCATCTCTGCCACCCAGCTTTCTGGAAACACTGAGGATGGGGAAGTGACATCAATCTGAGAGCAGACAGAGCCAGAAATAAACGAGACTGCTTTTTTTCCTGCTATCCAAAGAGTTGGACAAATTCTGATTGCTTGAAATCAACTTTAGAGCTTCTTGCTCCCTGACTGGAGGGTGTTTGGGTGGAGTAACTGCTGGGAACATGGGGAGCTGTGTATGGACAGTCCCAACCTGCAACTGAACTTGGCTGTGCTGGCAAAAATCAGATTGAGGACCTTCAGGCAGAGGAGGTTTCTAGAAGGTGGAATTCAGCACAGTATTTCTTAATTTGGGACATAAACAGCCTCTGATATCCAAAATGTCAGTGGGCAGCCTGGATCGGATCTATATCAGGACAGAGTCTGTGATTGTGGTGCCTGAGGAACTGGTTGGGTGGTGACATCCAGAGGGTGATGGTTCAATGGCTCAGTGTCCTGGTGGACATCAGGGACAAGTGGTACTGGGACCAGTGTCATTTAATGCCTTCATCGATGGCAGACAAAGGGGTTGAGTGCTGGACAGCGGAGAGAAAATATAAGGAAAGCCTTGTGTGTTAAAGTGAGGACAGGGAGAGGTCACTTGGCCTTTGCCAGGATGGGAAAAACTTGTGGAAAAATTAATTACCAATCAGATCAGAGCAGGATAATGAGAAAAACCAAACTGGCTGCTGGCAGCAGAGTGTTCACCATCTGAGAATGCTCTGACTGGGCTCGACGAGGCAGCAGCACCCACTGGTGGAAAGGTGCTTGGGGATGGCAGGAATCGAAGGGCCTCTGGGCGAGGTGGTGTTTGCAGGAGGTTTCATAGCCCTGGATCTGCCCCTCCCTTTTCCTTCACAGGCAGGTGCTTGCCCATGGGGACACTGTCTCTGAGGGAGGTGCCACCAAGCCCAGCAGAGCTGGGGCTGGACTGGGCTGTTTCCACCCAGCACCCCCCGTTCCTGTTCCCACAGGTTCCTGCTGGGGACAGCACAAGGTGCACTGATGTTCTTCAGATGTTTCCTCCGCCAGGCAGCATCTGTTTCCTGTCCTAAAAATGACAGAACCAGGGTGCTGGGCGGCTGTGACTCCTCTGTCACCAAAGGAGGATGAGCCTGTGTCCTTCTCCTGTCCCTGCCCCACATGAGCACGGCCGTCCCTCAGCCCTGGGGTGCTGTGGGTGCTGCATCCTCCTTCCGTGGGCACTCAGCTCTTCTCCCACTGCCTTCCTGCAGCCCCACTCTCAGGAAACACTGGGCTGGAGGTTTTTACAGCTTGCAAAGTGATTAAACTCTCCCTGCAGAGAGGAGCCAAATGGGGCCGGAGCGTGGGATCAGGGAGCGTTTTGCTGTGGAAATCAGCTCTGCCCCCCTTCTGGCTGCTTTTTTACCGGCATCCAACCCCAGATCCCGACTGGAGGGCTCTCTCCTCTACTTCTCTCCCCATAAGCACGCACTGTGCTGCTGCCAGGAGGCTTAGGGAAGCACATGCCAGTAAAGCTGGCAGCAGGAAGGGACTGGGAGTGAGGAGGATCAGGCTCAGCCGGATGAGGTTCCAGGATTCACTTCTCCATTCCTCCGTGGTACCAGTGGGGCATCAGCCATCGAGCAAAGGCACAGTCTGCTCTGGATAAGTGCGAGGATGATGCTGGGGTGGATGATACAGTTCTTCACCAGCCCCTGAGCTCCTGGCTATCTACTGGAACCTGCCCCTGTCACCCAGGACAGCTCAGTCCTTCCCCAGGGCTGTGCTGCTGCTGAGAGCTGCAGTTCAGAGCTGTGTCCAGGTGTGACCCACCCCGAGGTGGAGGAAAGGACCAGGTGGAAGCAACTTTGTTCCCCCCACCTCTCACTCCATTCCTGCTGTGTGGCACCCCCCCAGCTCTCCTGTCCCCTGCTCTGCCTGCCCAGGTTGCAGCCCAAGAGAAACTCAGCCCTGGCTTTGCTGCCACCCAAACCTGCCTGACAGTGAGCGAGGCTGCAGCTGGAGGAACATGGTGAGCCAGCAGTTTAAGGCTTTGGTTTAGATTAGGATTCAGAGGTGTGTTTTTAGCTCACATTATTTAGCTGAGCCTGTGGAGAAGGAGGCTCCAGGTTGGGATGAGAGCCGGGTGATTCCCGTGTGATGGAACCCAGGGATGTCGCAGTGAGAGGGGGTTAAACAGCCTTTCAGATCCTGATCCCTGAGCACTTGATGGTTTTGCCATTTAAAGGCCGTGCTCAGCTTGCTGGATTCTTGGATGGCTCCAGCGAAAGGCTTCCAGCTATTCCCCAAGGATCCTCCTACATCCTGGTGAGATAAGGATCAGGAAGGGAAGGTCTCTCTGCAGTCTCAGCTGTGGCTTTGAGCACAGATTCCCTTTTCACTTTGGGGGCGGAGGGGAGGAGAACGAATTTGCTCGAAAAAAAAATTATTTCTAAGTGACACACAATAAAAAAATAAATCCCACAACAATGATCTTATCGTGTGAGTCAACAACAGCCACGGCTGCCTTTGTTCTGGTGGGGCTGTAAAACACTTGCAGGGAGGAGAAGGCGGCCTCCTTGAAGGCAACTTCCTTGGAATGCCCTGCCTGGGACCCCAGTTGGGTCCTGGTTGCTCCCCAAAACCTGTGCTCACACAGTGCTGGGAATACATGAACATCCCACACCTCATTCCTCTTTCCTTACATCCCAGCAGCTTCTGCTCTTGTGCCAGGAGCTGTGGAGGAGGGATTTTTCTGGGATTAAATTTTAAAATTTAGTCTTAACTTTATTGGGGGGGGTGGAGAAAGCAGCTCATAAACCGAGAGGCTGCGAGTGGAGAGGACTGTCCTGGCTCTTCCCTGCTCTGGGAAGGAAGTGAAAGCAAAGCAGAGAGAGGATGTGAATGTGGAACAGGATCACATCTGGTGTGACAGAGAGGGATTGTGGCCTGCTGAATAACCAGCCAGAGTGAGAGGCTGGAGCCTGGTGTGGGTGACCGATGTTTCACTCTGAGTCTCAGTTTCCCCATCCGTGGTAAGAGGAGGGTCAGTCTGGTCTTGTCAGAGCTGGGAAGGGCTGGACAGGAGCAGGGCCCTTTTGGTTTCCCTCTGAAACTCCCAACAATTTGGGATGGTTTCACCTGCCCCTGCACGTGGAGGCACAGGGATGTTTGAAAAGCGCTGTCGGTGCTTCTCACAGATGGGAAAACCTGAAGAAACCCCTCCCCTGGCACACACACAGCTGTGCTGAAAGGCAAAGTTCACTGCCCTCAGAATGCAGATTTGGTTCCAAAGATGATTTCAACCACTGTCAAGAGCAAATTGTCAGCGGAGGATCAGATCTGGAAAGCTCTTCTTCCCTTCCACATCCCGTTCCCTGAGCTTGAACTGTGCTGGAAATCGGATTCTCCCAGTGACTCACTGCTGTGTTTGGAACAGCCAGAAAAGGTGCAGATGCCTATTTGCTGCTCTCTGCTGACAGACTCTGGGGCAGAGTCTCAGCCTTGGCTGGTCCTGAATGTTATTTAAAGCAGAGCAGGGAGTGTGTGGAGGCTGAGCTGGGTCAGCACCGCGGGGGCTGGACCTGGCAGATGGTGCTGCGAGATGTGACAGTGTCTGCTGGTGGATGGAGCCCCAAGTTCTGCTCCCACAGCCCCTTGACCTTCTGCATCCCTGCTCCAACCCCTGCACCGCCAGCACACGCAGCCCACGACACGTGTGACCACAGCCTGAGCTCCGGGTCTCACAGCAGGAGAGATCAGGGTGGGAATAAAGTGTTAATGCCACGAGGAGCAGGGATAACCTGCATGGCTGGCATTCCCTGGGGATTTTAATCCCTGCCAGACAGCAGTCTGTGGCTTTGCCTGGTTTCTCAAGCAGCACGTGTGGGGACAGCCCATCCCTCCTCCCGGCCGCCCGACACAGGCGAGTGGAACAACCCAGGGCTCCACAGGGCACTGAGCACACACCGACAACCTGAGGATGGCAGGAAACAACGGCCCCAAACTCTGGTCTGGCTGAGCAGGGGCACT